AGTGTGTGTGTGTGTGTGTGTGTGTGTGTGTGTGTGTGTGTGTGTGTGTGTGTGTGTGTGTGTGTGTGTGTGTGTGTGTGTGTGTGGTGTTGATGAATCGAGTCATTTAGTAGAGTGTGTGCTGATTAATCCAGGCGGAGTGTTAATACGGGAGATGGGAACAGATTAAATGGCGTACATTAACAAATATTGCCACCCCTTTAAAACACACAAACACACACAAGCCAAATATGTGTGTGTGTGTGTGTGTGTGTGTGTGTGTGTGTGTGTGTGTGTGTGTGTGTGTGTGTGTGTGTGTGTGTGTGTGTGTGTGTGTCCTCACTGTTTGCCAGTAGCTGTTGTTGCTGTTGTTGCAGTTGTTGATGATTGACAGCTCCCATTGGTCCTCCTCTTCCTCCTCCTCCTCCTCCTCCTCCCCCCATTGGTCCTCCTCCTCCTCCTCCTAGTCCTCCTCCATGAGCTCCAGCAGGGGGGCTGGTCAGACGCTCCTTATCCCAGGAACACTCACTTCCTCCTGGGGAGAAAAGGAAGAGAATTAGACATTCATAAAACCATGTGGTGCCTTCAGGTGCTGCTGGGATCGTCCCGTGTTCAGAGCTTTGAGTTGAAACGAGGAAACGTAAAGACTCTACGGAGAAGATGTATTTCATTCGTTTAGTCATTTATAAAACAATGCGTTACATTTTTAGAGGCAGAGAAAGCTGCTCGAATTTATCTGAGTTACTTATACGAAGACATATCTTGTTGTACGCTACAGTATATTAACTTGCTGATAACTAAATAACATAATCAGATTGTTATAATCAGATGGTTATAATCATGAATATTATGGGTCATTAGTTTTTGTATAATTGTGTTTTTTTTAATACATGATTTAGAGAAAGAAAAAACATGAATTGACGAGTTTCGATTTTTTTATTACTATAATAATTTATAAAAAAGAAAAACAATGGAGGAAAATATTTGCAGATTTCTTACGTTTTTATTTCATATTTTTTAAATTAACTTAAAGTATTTAGTTACCTCCACATGTGCCAAAGAACACATTTTAAAACATGACATTTTTGTATAGTGTTACAAAGATCGATGCAAATGTTTAGTTTACAGAAAATGTAATCTCCTAAATGAACGACACGTTATGAAAGCGTTTGTTAATCATTGATAAATGCGTTCCACTGATTGAGTTAATGCAGCATTATGATAATGATCGTTAAGACCTCTCTGTAATCATCAGAATAAAGTTTCTCATTTAAATAAATATGTTGTGTAACTCTCTCTCTCTCTCTCTCTCTCTCTCTCTGTACACCTTCATTCCTCCACTCCCCCCTCTCTCTCTTTCTCCCCCGTTCCCTCTCTCATCCATCTTCATCTCCCTCCATTAGTTTGAATTAGCAACCGTCTCTCTCTATTATTGCCTACTGAACTCCCTGCGCTGCGCGTGTGTGAGTGTGTGTGTGTGTGTGTGTGTGTGTGTGTGTGTGTGTGTGTGTGTGTGTGTGTGTGTGTGTGTGTGTGTGTGTGTGTGTGTGTGTGTGTGTGTGTGTATGTGTGT